ACACGCTTCTTTTCTCAGTATCCCCTTCAGCGCGTTATTCTAACCCAACCTCCAGAGGACTACGTCGAGACGGGCTATTGGTCAACAATTGAAGTGCCCGTGGGCATCATCTGCGCATGCATGCCGGCAGTCCGATCGCTCTTCAGTCTTGCGCTCCCTAAACTCTTCGGCACGACGCGCAACGGCGCCACCGCCAACTCGACCTTTGGGAGCTTCGGCCCCAACTCGTCCGGCAACCGGCTCGGCAACCAGAGCAACAAGATCAGCATCAAGCAGGAGTGGTCGGTGCTCAGCGAGGGGCCGGACGACTACGCGCCGCAGCACAACCGCCACGCGCGCACCACCAGCGACGTCGAGCTGCTGAACGTAGGACGGGGCGTGGGCGTGGGCGTGGCCATCTCCAACGACGACGAGCGCACGCCGACCCGCAAGATGACGCTCTCGAAGCACGACGACGGCGCGTGGCGCGGCATCAGGGTCGCGGGGGAGGCCGGCGAGAGCAACGAGTACAGCAAGTCGCCCGCGTTCACGACGAGAGAACGGGAGCTGCGGTAGTGCGGTCGGGTTAGGTTTGTGTTCTTGGATTTGGATTGTTAGAGAAAAGAATTAGATTTTATGCTAGCGACCTAGCGCTTCAGTCTTTATAGAAATCTGTGCTTTTAGGTTGCATTTTGTTTCGAGCGTGTGTGTGTTAAATTCTCTTCGGAAAGGCTCGGAATTCGGAATTATGAATGGATGCGGCGAAGGGGCCACGGAAAAGGCTGGCTCAAGATTTTTGGGTTTTAAATCTTCGGGAGATACCTGGGCCATATTGAAGGCGATGGGGCTTGAAATCATGGACCTGGGATATGTAGCCGATCTTCATGTCACCAAGTAATGGCAACTAGGATTTCCTTGATTGTCGATCTAGGGCCCCCTTCGGAATGCTTAAACCACCTACATAGGTACTAGATCGTGAACAGAGAAGGTGGCATAATATCTCAAACACATCATTGAAATAGAATGACAACAGACGCAACAATTATATATCCAGCATTATGGTACAAGTGGAAGAAGCGAGGGGTTATCATTTGGATATAGTTGGATAAGAGTAAAATTCCACTATAGGACGGCTCGCCATTCATCGTTAGTACGCTTGGATGTGACTATCCTTACATTCGCCATAATAATAAATTATACTGTAAGTTAAGAGTCCCATATTACTTAGAGACCTCCTTTGTCCCTGTTGCAAAGCTCCCGATGACTCTGATAGACCCTTGGTCCCTGATGGCTTCTTCAACTGGACTCCTGACAGATCTTCCACATCGAAGTACGACTAGTTGTATCTTTAGAAAAATTGGATACATTCCAATACTGTTTATAATATTTATTTTCAACTACTGACTTTTTTCCTCGTGGCATCACGTACAGTGATGGACACAACGAAAAAAGAAAAGGAATCTCTCCAGGAGCGGAGTTTCAAAAAGAAAAGAAAAAAAAAAGGGTTCAAAGTGTAGTAGCAGCTAACTTGATCTCTGAGCACTTAGGAGCCGCAGTGATAAAAAAGGCATCACTGTAGCCCCTTATAGTGCGTGACTACACCTTGTTCTCCTCAGAGAACAAATAGACCGAACCTAGTAACGAGTGTAAGGTAGACAGTCAGCAAAAGGGCAAGGGGGGGAGGAAGATATACCTGACAAAAATATAATAAAATATAATAAAAAGCAACGAGGGCCCGCCACCACCGGGACGACTTGTGGTCGTCGACCACAGAGGTCGCCCGCCTCATTGCTGGGCGCTCTAGTCTCACGCTAAACTAGAGTCCAGGGTTTAACGATACTGCCGGGAGTGCGTGGCAAACCCGACAGCAACGTGTCACAGTGAGACCGGGCAGAAGGCCATGCGTGAGAAACGCAGGCTCCCGCAAGCGGCCTGGGGCATGGACGAGTCCACAACTGAAACCCATCTCCGCGTGGGACCCGGTGTGGAACCCGGCGTTCGGGCGCCGTCCAAAGGGATCTACGGGACCAAGCACGCTACTGTACCCACGCAGCCCTACCCCGCATCAGCGGACTGTTCAGGGGCCATCGTACAGCCCGGCCTCCCGGCACGGACTGCCGGAAACAACTCTACGGGAGGAATGCTGATGCACCAGCATTCTCATTCGACCGCAGGCCGAGGGCATCATCAATGCTTGGAAGCTGTGTTTGAAACCCGGTGCAGGGAGAAATCCAGCGCGTCCCACCTGCCCACCCTAGGAGCTAGAACGGCTACCAAAGAATGGAGCAACTTCCATAATCACGCCCTGGACATAGTCTAGTGGTGCGTAGTATCTGGAGACCTAAGTTTTAGCTGGATGGAAGTTTTCCAATATACAGTTTCTAAAGATAAAGACATAACTTTGCTTCTAAATAGTTTGTCCAAAGCCCGCTACAAGACGTGGAGTTTTTGGTTTCACGATCCGATCTCCAATGTACGTCAGTGGCGTCTCCAGACCCTTCTCAACATCTTGGCGCTTTCCTTGGCTTGTTTGTGCGAGGGTCGGTTTAGAGGTAAGCTGTGAGGTTATTTGGTGGCGCAGCGTCTCAGTCGGATCCTAGACCCCCGCATTTGAGCCTCATGCAGTCTGTCCTGGCAAATCGGATCAAAACGATCGTAGGATCAGAAGCAGCCTGCCGATCAGCTAGGCAACGACTTGCGAGATCCGGATTTAAATCCGACGTCTCCCGTCTTTCTTTTGGGGATAGCCCCCTAGAACAAGCTAGATTAGTTTAGGTACGTGAGTTGTAGCTTTCATTCTACCTACACATATCATGGACAACGCAAAGATAAATGCTTCTTCTCTTGGGGGTGAGCACAAGTTGCCGCATCGCTCTCGGGCAGTCCAGGGCTCGTCAGATGACGACACCACCCGAGCCTGGTTCAACCATTCTAACGGGAGGCGCGTCAACACCGACACGGTCATCGCCAGAAACCTCGCCAAGCAGTATCCCGACCTAGACCTCGTGATTGCGCCGCAGAGCAATCTCAACCTGCTCGCGTACGCCCAAGCGGGTCACGCCTCTTTCAATATCGTAGAGGAGACCGGCAGCACCCTTCCTACGCCCTTATCATGGACCGTCTACGCACCCCCGGCCCGGCGCCTCGACGGCAATCTGGGTGCATTGGGCGAGAAGCTCAATTTCGGGAAGTTCATCTATAAGTGGCGCGACGAGGAGTTCATACTGTACATGGCCGACATCCGCGACGGCACGCAGGCCTACCCCATGCAGATGAACCACTACATCTTGACGTCGAACCGCGCCCGCGCCGACGCCCTGGTGCTCGAGGCCGGCCGCTGGTCTATGGAACTGCACGGCGAGATCTTTGTCTTCGACCAGGGGTACTGGCAGAAGTCGGCAGACCTGTACCGCTCCGTCATGAAGGCGTCGTGGGAGAGTGTGATCTTGGACGAGGAGATGAAGAAGGCCCTCATTGACGACCATACCAATTTCTTTGACAGTCGTGATACGTATGAGCGGTTGCAGGTTCCGTGGAAGAGGGGGATTATTTATCATGGCCCGCCGGGAAATGGGAAGACGATTAGTATCAAGGCGATGATGCATACTTTGTATAGTCGCAAAGACCCGGTGCCCACTCTTTACGTGCGGTCCTTGACCTCGGTGAGTCTTCAAGACCGGCTGACTTCACGATGGGAATATGACTAACTTACCGGGCTTTCTTCAGTTCCAAGGGCCGGAATACGCACTGAAAATGATCTTCGAGAAGGCAAGGCAGTTCGCTCCTTGCTATCTCGTTTTTGAAGACCTCGACTCGATAGTTTCGGACAACGTCCGCAGCTACTTCTTGAACGAGGTTGATGGTTTGAAGAACAACGACGGTGTTTTCATGATTGGCTCTACGAATCATCTTGACCGTTTGGACCCGGGCATTTCTGTAAGTTCCATCCCGACCCCAAAACTGCTCTACATGACTTCGTGAAGTCTAACTCGGGGCAGAAACGACCTTCCCGATTCGACAGAAAATACTACTTCCCAGACCCAGACCTCGACCAACGCACCGCTTACTGCAAGTTCTGGCAGTCTAAGCTCTCCGACAACGACGATATCGATTTCCCTGACAAGCTGTGTAAGGCCATCGCTAAGATCACGGACAAGTTCAGCTTTGCGTACATGCAAGAGGCGTTCGTAGCTGCTCTGCTCGCGATCGCCAGACGGTCGAAGGGGCAGAGGGCAAGCGAAGATTTAACGAAGGATATGGGCGATGGATGGCTGGGGGTTTGCGCAGTGGATGATGGCGAGGGCTTAGACGAGTTGGTGCTGTGGGTTGAGATCAAGAAGCAGATTGAGATTCTGAGAGAGGGTATGGAAGACAAAAAGGGCACGGCGATGGGCAAGAGTCGACCATGAGGAGATTCACGACTTGGGTGGAGGGAATAGCGGTGGGTTACCTGTAGAGTTAGGTTCATGTGTTATTATGGGTAATGAGAACCCCGTAGTATTGGGCTAAATTTTCATCAGGCGTCAATCTACGATTAAGCTTCTTCAGGTTTCTATGAAGCCAGGTATATTGGGAGGGCGTGTGTTTCTAAAAGTTGCTTGCCCTTTTCCGTAAGGTTAACGTCCTTAACCCTCTTCACTAGATTTTCTAATTAAGGCATTCTTGCCCTAAATATGACATAGATCTAATCCAAACAGGCAAACTACTTGCAGAGGTCAACGAATTATTTTAGCGTAAAGATGTATTTTTCTTGTGTAGATGGGTATACTGAGCAAGATGTAAAAATCGTGTGTTGAAAGGACCGTATGATCTCACCAGCTTGTTCCAATAGTTACATTCTTCTTAGAAGCATTATGTGTTTCCTCAATCAATTTAGAACTATGTCCCTGAATCACTGGTCCTAAAGTTTAGTACAAATAGCTGCGTCGGTACCTATCCATCACCCCTTGTGCTGCCTCTGCCACTGCTCGCAGCAGTTACTGGAAACAAACTTCTATCCTACGGAGCAAAAAATAAGCCTCTGCCCCCAGCTGGAATCGAACCAGCGATCTTTGCATGGATCGTACACATACGAGTGCAAGAGTGCAACGCGTTACCACTTTGCCATAGGGGCCTTGAAGTGTGCTTGGGTCTCAGTTTGTCATGAGTACTCATCTACCGTTATTTAAGGAGCAAACAGTTTTAAGAGTATATGTCTTACCAAGTCATCATCGCTTCTCTCAAGGTCAGCTCAAAGTCTACCCTTCGCTTTGAGCGCCACCTGTTGTCAGTGAATCGAGCCTCGTGATGTTCAGGACCTGGCGCAAGCGCTGGTATGTCGAAATAGGGGCTTAACTGTATACTTTAATAATGAATATGGGCCTCTAATTATATCTAGCAAGCTACAAGCTCGTTGATAATCATGAGCATCCGAGCATATATTTATTTGCTGGAGAAGACTTCCCCTTATTCTTCCGTTCGTGGTCTTTGTCATGAGATCTGAAGCCGGATACCAGTGTAGCGTTACATTAAGTATGGCAACCCTCCTTGGAAAACTCACCAAAGCTGTGTACATGCACCTCTTCCCACAGGACACATAAAGATGTAACTAGTAACTCATGCCTAAGGTTAACGTACGTATCGCACAACCTAGCAAAACTTCACGCCCCCGAAGATTAACCATGGGTAGGTATGTAATATTACCTACCAAGCCCTTTCCGACAACGGCAATGAGATCATGCGAACGAGCTGCTGAGCTTGTCGATGCCACTCTATCTAGGAGAATATTGCACCAGGTGCCGTATGATGTCACGAATGAGGAACTAGTCCCGGCGCCCAGGTTATCTACATGAAGAGCCGAGACTAAGGCTGTTTGTTATGAGTCTAGGATAGGCTATTCAGGGCTGAGAATGTTGAAATCCTTCTTCGGCACTAGATGTTTGTTCATTCTAACCTAGTACCTGTAATAGGTGTGCCATGACATCTTCATAACTGGGCAAGAATACCCCTGGAATAGCTCATATCAATTATTGTGCCACCCTTTCTATCCCCATGATCCGCCACCACGGAAGGACACAATTCAAACATGGAGAGAGCATAAGACGTTGCCTAGGATGTGAATAGTGCAATATCCTTTAATGAAGTTCCCAAGCCACAGTTTGCTATAGCACAGCACTTCCCAAAGGAGAAACGGGTGACTAGGTAATGCCCCTTGCTTCACCTTAAAGCTGTCCGATATAGGAGCCATCTCAACCATGAGGTGGCTTGATACTGTGAAGAGGTGGTGAACAGTACAACAAGTCCAGCTCACGGCTATAAAAGGCCACCAAGGCCACCGGCGCTACCTGACGCGTCATCAACTTCTATAAAGCCAGCACCCCGTTCCACCTGTACCTGGCGAGGAGGCCGTTCCACATGGTGTATGGACGGACACACCACGGCACAATACCACAGAGCCATCACATTTAGAACGTGCCAGAAGGCCATCACCTGAGATACAAGAGTTTCCTGGGGTACGTGTCTTGCTCTTATTCACTTCCACTTTATGAATCACATTTTCCCTAGACTGATAATGACTTGGGCCCACAGCTGCAAAACCTCTATCCACAACTGCAAGTCCGGAGTCAGGGCAGGACTTGGCACAATCACCGAACTGCTTGATTGATCGCATCATACGCATATATCAGAGCGTCAACATCCTTCTCCAAGAGCAAACCCTTTAGCTATCACATCCAAACATGCGCTTCACCACCGCCACCTCTATCATCAACACGTTCCTCATTTGCGGCTTAGGCACCAACCTCGCCGCGGCCAAGATCTGGATCCAGTTCTGCGACGACACGGGGTGCAGCGAGAACTGCGGGATGAGCGTGAGCGTCAACGACCCGGGGTGCCTGGCGCGCGAGTGGGGGCGGCGGTCGCTCAAGGTGCACGGGCAGGACTTCCTGGGCGCGTACATGGTGCACTCGCCGGGGCCCGACTGCGACTGCCAGAACGACTGCACGGCCATCCCCGGCCAGGGCCCGCCCGACTGCATGGACATCTCCGACACCGCCGTCGCGCAGAGCTACCGCTTCCAGCTCACCACCTGCAAGGAGATCGAGGGCGGCCCCGGCATCGGCAATAATTGCGGCCCCCAGCCCACCGGCAATGGGGGCCCGCCGAGGGCGTGGGCGAATGGGACGGGAGTGTATTAGTATGGGAGGGGTTTAGGATGAGATAGAGAATGGGTTTTCCAGGGCGGCAATCACGACGGCGTATTAGGTTGACGGGCTTCTATATAGTTGCGTTACCTTCACCAACTCCACTCTGCTAACTTTTCTTCCTAGTGCTGCCCGCTGCTAAGGTGAAAGACCGTTTGTGTGTGCCGCTTGGTTGTTATCTTTTCTACCTACAGTAGATTGACTTCCCCATTTCAGTGAGAGAAGTGATACAAAATGGTTCTCCAAACAAATGGCAAGATTGTCTAGTGTTATACGTGTTTCTGAGATGAATTCTGTTATGTGATGAATGCAAGAAACAAGAACAAACCGGGAAGAAGGATTGACTTTCTTTTTACTATTGTTAACGCTATGTTCGTTTAGATCAGCGTTGGCGTTGATGTGGTCGTTGAACTGACGGTAGTGCTGGAGGACCCGTAAATATCGCCGTTACGTCTATTGTCGAACTACCAGTCACCGAAGATGAGATCGAGCTAGAGTCAGACGGCGTCTGCAGAGACGACACCCCCTCTGTTATCGTGCCCTCAGGGCTCAACGTAGCCTCGGTAGCGGTATACGGATTCTCCAGAAGCAGTGAGCGCAGCCTGAGTTGACGATGCCTCCACGCCGTCTTTGGTGCTTTTCGCCACCCCAGACCCATAGCAGACGAATCTCATGCCCTTGAAATCTCCCGAAGCGACACACAAGCAATTCCCATCATCCTCAACCAGAGGCTTCGGCTCATCCACCGCCGTCTAGTCGCCACACGCCGCGTCGCTATACATACGAAAGCGGGCCTCGCACCGCTCTCGCACCACGGCCGCTCATTCAGGATATACGAGCGAAATGCGTCGAGGTACGGCGTGGCGGAGTTCTCTTTGTCGCAAGTGTCGATTCTTAGGATGAAGGAGTTGACGAGAAGACCGGCTCCTAGTAGTTGGTGTCGGAAAAGAGTGTGACGTTGCCAGTTTTGGAGAGTGTCCCGGCAGTAGAGTGCGCGAGCCAAAGAGCGAATGTGAAGGCAACTGGATGCAGGAGGACCTTCACGGTGACTGCGCGCTCACCAGGGGAACGAGGGAATGAAATTCGTGGAACGGTATGTAAGTTGCATGATGAATTTACCTACGAACTGGCTGCCTGGGAGCTTCGCGTAAAAACATCGCGAAGTCGGAATTAGCGTGCCAAGCATAGCCAGAGCGACGGCACAGCTCCCTGGCCCAGCTAGTTGCTGTTATTGCATCAACTTCATTGTTGACACATAATTATCAGACACGTCGAGTTGCTTTAGGTGTTGCTGATGGGAGGCTTGCCTCTAGTTTCCATATTGGATTGTGCTGAAGAATATTGATATGCTGACAATTATCGTGCGTCGATTGTATGAATCCTTAAACAAATCTATAAAACGCGGATGGTAAGAGCTAGCATTGCATAATCCAGTATTATATGCAGGGTGAAATGCCAAAATGCAATGATGCCTAAGAGTTTGCGATACTCACAATCTGCTATTTGTGTCATCAATCGTAAACCCTCTCCAACTTCAGACGTTGTTTTCACGGAAAGACGCCCACGTTGATTGCATGTTTATGTTGCCAAGTTGTGGAAACGTCTACATATAAAACCCGGGGTATCCCCTTATTGACAGATTCATCTGAGATTAAAGCTGTTCAATATTCAATGAACTATCTGTTGGTCGTGTAACTTTGAATTGGGACCATATCTTGGCCACGGGGATTATTCTCGTACAAACCGCTTCACAGACTAGACGTGCCGAATTCGCGAGAGCATCAAGGCAACGGTAGTTGAGGAGCGGGCATTGTGTTGTATTCTTGCCGGGAATCTTCGAGCTTTCATCGTGCCTTGCCGAATTAGCCACCGTTCGATCAGCGTATCTAATAACGGATCAGCCCATTATATTATTCAACGTCACGTGCTTACTTGGATTGTAAAGGGGTCATTATTCCTTCTAACTACTCGACTCGCCGACCTGCTCCCTACCTATTTAGGGGCATATCCACACACATACAGCATGTGTGCGTGCTTCGGCCTATTACTATACACTAAGGGACGTGGTCCCTAGAGGTATATGTCCAGGTTCAAGATCCGAGACCACCCCTTTTGGTCTCGCGAATCGTGCTAGACCCAAATGTCTGCATGATAGCACGTAGCAAGGAAAAAGAACCTCCAACGCCGTTTATGCAGATGACAACGGTTATTCCCCGTCCAATTACCGCATTACAATACCCATTGTGTCCCTCGGTTTATTCCCCTAGGCATCAGCCATCATCGTGGTATCTGGGTGTCTTGGTCATTACTCCTGCTTCTCCTTGGCGCTTCCAACGAACCGCTCTTTCATGGAAAGTTTCTTCCCTCCCATGGATTTGAATTTATCGATTAGGGTCTTTCTCGAGTCTAGTTCGGCAATCTCGTCGCTACCGCCAACGCTCTTGCCGTTGATCATGATATTAGGTACGGTCTTGCGTCCGGTCGTGACAGCTAACCGGGCTTGTAGCTGCTTGCCCATGGGATGCTCGTCGAGCTCGACGACGTAAGGGGCGGGGTCGATGGAGTACTTTTCGAGGAGGACGCCCTTCGCTCGCTTCGAGAAAGGGCAGAAGGTCTTGGAGAAAATGACGACTACGTTAATGTTAGCAATTAGATGAATACGGTTTATTGAATAGCACATTGGTCTCACCTGGGGATTTCTTTAGTATGTTTGAGAGGGTTGTTTCGACTTCTTGGTCCTCCTCTGACTTGGGTTCTTCGTCTGTCTCCGTCTCCTTGGAGCCCCCCTTTCCCTTAAGACCTTTCTGGCCTCCTGCCGAGCTCCCAACACCGACGACCTCACTCGGGGGATCTGGCTTCAAAGGTGCCTTGGCGTTTGCTAAGTCTTTCGCCTTCTGCTCAGCAGCCCGTAGTCGGTCGGACATCTCTTTTG